GCGGCGGGGGAGCCGGCACCAGGCACGGACTGCGGGCTGGGTCGGGACTGGTCACCAGCACCAGCTGCAGGGGAGCGGGCATCGGTACCGGACCCACGGGGGGGGGTCAGAACCGGGCAGAGGCACCGGCTGCAGGTCCGGGCACGGGCTGCACGGGAGCAGCTCTGGGCGTCGGCACCGGCTGCAGGTTCGGGCAGAGGTGAAGGAGAACCGGGCCCTGTACCGGGTTCCGGGCACTGGCACCGGGCAGGGGGAGCGGGCGGGGGCAGAGCCCGGGGGTTACTACGGGGCTGGGTGCAGGGCGGGGGGGGGGCGCAGGACCCAGCACCGGGCACGGGACATGGGGCAGGGGGGCAGGGGGTGCCGGTACTGGGCAGCAGCACCAGGTAGCGGCTCCTGGCTCCAGGGTCGGGCGCCTGATAGGGGCTGCCGGCACCAGCCAGGCCCGGGCAGGCGGTACCGGGTGCCAGCACTGCAGCTCGGACACCGGGTCCCGGTACCTGCCCTGGGTCCTGACTGGAGGGCACTGGGAACAAGGTGGCAGGTACCAGCACCGGGTCCTGGGCACAGGGTGGTGGTGGTGGTGGGGGGCCTGTCCCGGCACCAGCACCAGGCACTGGGCATCGGCTCCTGGCGCCATGTGCCGGTACCGGGCACCAACCAGTGGGCACTGGGCTGGGTGCACGTGGGGCAGGGCGACCCGCAGGGCTGGGTGCACGTGGGGGCCTGAGCAGGCACCGGGTGCAGGGGTCTCATGACGGGGGCTGGGGAGGGGTGTCTGTCTGGCCCCTGTCCCTGCGGGCTCTGTGTCCCTGCGGCTGCTTCCCTTATCGGGCCATGCCGGCAGCGCCCAGCGGGTTCCCAGCCATTCCCGAGCTTTTCCTCTCGCAGGAAATGGCTCCCTGGGAAACGCGGCCCCGCGCAGGGTTAAACCCTGACTGCGGCTCTTCAGCTCTGTGCAAAGCACCGAAAGGCTCCTGCAGCCCCAGATAACGAGGCCGGGGCCCTGGGCGCCCGCGCAGCCGGCCCTGCTCGGGGACGCTGCCAGAAGGTCCCTGATTGCCCAGGGCAGCCGCTGTCCCGGTGCCGGTACCGCTATCCTGGTGCTGCTATCCCAGTGTCGGTGCCGCTATCCCAGTGTCGCTATCCCGGTGTCATTGTCCCGGTGCCGCTATCCCGGTGCTGGTTCCGCGGCTGGGCTGCTCCGGTGCCGGTTCCCGCGGGGCCGTCGCGCATTCGCTGTCCCCTCTCCGCAGCCGTGACCTGGTGGGCGCTGAGCCCGGCGCTGGGCAGCGGGACGGGCCCGGCCGGCACCGCGCGGAGCCCCCGGCGGCACCAGGGAAGCGGCACTGACCCGGCGGGGACGGTGGGGACGACCTCGGCCGAGGGGACCCCCGGTGCCACGGCCAGGCCYGGGGCCGCGGCGCCCCCCCCAACAGCTCCCACCAGCACCGACCTGGCAGGAAGCGCCGCAGGACCCCGCGGGACCCCCGTGTCCCCCCCAGACCCCTCCCCAGGGAGCAGCGAGGGCCGCACAGGGACCACAGAGCCACCGACGGGGCCACCGGCTGCCTCGGAGCGGCCGCCCAGCCCCAGTGTCACCCTGAGCCCCCCGGGCAGCACCACTGTCCCTCCAAACCCCTCGGGGACGGAGCAGCCCCCCCGAGGGAGCCCTGGCAGCCACGGGGGGCACCAGCCGGGTCCTGGCTCTGCCCCGGGCCCTGGGGCGCACGGGGGGCTCCCCACGACCGGCACCACAGAGCTGGACACTGCAGGGACGGTCCCCTGGGCGCTGGTGGCCACCGACGGGGCATCGGGGCGGCCCGACCCCCCCACAATGACTGGGGTCCCGGCGGGGGAGCCCCCCAGCCCTGAGCGCGGCCCGAGCCCGTCCGTGGTGACGTCGGGGCCGGGCGGCACCGCAGGGCCCCCCGAGCGCGGCCTGAGCCCCCCAGCCCGGTGCGGCTCCTCCAGCCCCGGGGCACCCACCGCCCCCGGGCCCAGCGCCCCCCCGGCCACCAGCACCTCGGAGGGGCCCGAGCGGGACCACACGGGGACCCGGGGAGCCACCGGCCGCCCGACAGCCCCCCCCAGCCCCATGGACCCCGGGGACCCGGGCACGGGGGGGACAGCAGCCCTGGGGCTGCCCCAGCCCAGCGGGACCCCTGGTGACACTGGGAGCCCCRCGGCCACCCCTTCTGGAGACACTGGGAGCCCCGTGGCCACCCTGTCCACTGCCCCTGGGACCYCTGCGTCCGCCCCCTCCCATGACATTGGGAGCCCTG